TGTTCGTGGAGATACCAGCTACGACATCATTAGTAGATTCTGACATTGAATATAAGGTGCAACTGGACGAGACCTCCGACACAGCGATAGTGCAATATCTTGTACCGGACGTCGGTCTCGAGGAACTGAATCTGTCCCTGAAGTCGTCCTGCGGCGAAGATTGCAACATTGTCGTCTACGTCACGGCGGAGGACAATCTCACCGATGGCTTGCTCAATTCTACGGCAATGTCGCTATCCTTCAAACCCTACATAGACAACTTCCACTTTGTGACCCTTCGTCTGTTGTCGGGAAATGCGTCGAATGTGACGATGCAACTACCAATGAGCCACCAAACAGATGTCGGAGTCGATCAGGTCTCGCCGGTGGTGCTGTCAAGAAAATCCTTCCCTGAATTTTTTCTCTTCGACTACGAACACCTGCTTGGCAACGATACGAAGCCCCAACCCTTTAATGTGACCACCGAAGCTCTTTCCGTCCTTAGTTTCAAGATCGGCCGGGTGTATGATGTCGGCGGCACGGTCACTCTCGCCTTCAAGCTGATCGACGTGGAAGAGAAGTACAAAAAGAACATTGTCCTCGTAGCCTGTGTTTCCTTAGGTCGGTTCTTATGTCTTAAAGTTACCTCTAATAAAATAATTTCTTTTAGGATTAAAATAGAAAATTCGATCCTTCTTTCAACGAGAGTATAATTCGAAGATAAACTTAGATTATCAGTCGCGCTTATATCTCATTTTGCAACAAATCTTTGTTTTTAATATATAATAATATAAAAAAGTAGAACATGCATAGAGTTTATATAAAATTAAAATTTTTAAAATCAATTTCTAGAGCCTTTTTACCACACATATCATCTTCTCCGTTCCTTCGAAATTCTTTAGGGTACTACACGAACATCACTTCTGGCGGTGGTTGCGTCCGCGCGCAGAGAGGTCTCACGACGGCGGACATGTACGTGAATGCGACTGAGCCGGCTTACGTGCATGTGCCCTTCCCCGAGGCAGGCACCTGGTACGTTAGCCTTCGTGTCTTTTGCCCTGAAGAGGAAAAGGAAGGAACGGAGGAAAAGACGCTCAGCGGCGCCAATATCAACATTAGCAGCAGCTTTTGTTCCTGCAGCCGCACCTGTTTGCAAGGCGACGTCGCGTGCGAGACATGCGACTGTCTGCCGCGCTGCCCTGCTATCCGGGTGGAGAGCATCGTATCGTCATCGCCGTGTATCGAGGGTCGTTGCGGACATCGTGGCAAGTGCATGCACTACATGAGCGGCGGTTTCGTCTTCTCGGCGTGCTACTGCACAGGCGGCTACCGTGGCTTCGACTGTGCGGACAACACGTACGTTCTCAGCACCAGCGGCATACTTCTGCAACTGCTCGCCCTCACCTTCAGTAACTTTGCTTTCGTTGGCTCGATCTACGTTGCTATGAAACGCGAATACTTCACCGAAGCGGTCGCCTACGTTGCGGTCATGTTCTTTTCCACGTTCTACCACGCCTGCGAGGCCGGCGAGGAGGTCTACAGCGTGTGCATCATGCGATTAAGCGTGCTACAATTTTGCGACTTCTTCAATGCGTTGCTCGCTATCTGGGTGACCTTAGTGGCGATGGCATCGTTCGGGCCACGATTGACAGCTTTCTGCCAGGTGGCTGGCGCGATCGTACTCGCGATGGGCGCTGAGATGGATCGTACGGCACTCTGGGTGTTCCTACTGCCAGCCGCCACTGGTTCCGCCTTAATCGGGCTATCCTGGGGGCTTAGATGCAAGAGAAAGCGCACCATTAGATATCCCTCGCGTCCGTATAGGTAAGAAAGAAAGCATGGAGGAAGAAATTAATTTTTACCATCGAAGAAATGTTGTATAATAAGACGACTGCTTGATAAAGTAAAAATTATATAATAGAAATAATTAAATAGAGATAAATAGAACATTGTAATCCAGTTAGCAAAATGCTAATAGTTTGCTATGGCAAATTTGCAGCAAATTCGATTAGATTCCTATTGCAGATTTATAGCAATCTCCCAGTCGACACTAACTAAAAATAACATAACATTTATAAGTTTTGTTTTATTAATGTCGACTGTTCTGTTCGCATTAAGCTTGAGCAGGATCTGTCAACAAAGTGTACTGATATACTCGTACTATGTCAGCAAATTTATGGTAGAAACCGAATGTAAGGATCTACGCGCGCGGACACTCTGACAGTAGACTGACAGCAGGCTTTGTCCTATTTCTAGCATTTGCTGATATTATTAAATATTACAGACTGTGTGAAATTTGTTGCCTTTCTATCATCAGAAATTGGTAGCATATACTCTGTTCAAAATTTGTCTCTACAGGCTATTTGGGAATGTACATATAAATACATAATAAGACAACGTCGAAATAATGGAGTAAAGTCAGGAGTGTTATCTTTTCATGTGCGACCGAAGTTGTATTTTTCTTTGCATTTCATATTCTTTTTGCTTTATTGCAGCACAGGATATTTCTGTTTCTAGGACCATCTACTTCCCGGCTGGAGTTCTTCTCGTTACTCTGGGATGCAAACGCGCAGGAATTATTATCTCATTCATAGTCTGTGGCATATCTGCGTGGCCATAGGAGTTATTCTACTTCTGCCGAAGCGCAAGTATATGAAATAATGATCAAAGTGCCGTGTAGGCATCCAGGTGAGATTTAAGATGACCGGAGATAGTATCGGCAGTTAAGAGATGTGATAGTAGGTAACCAAAGACATCAGGGAAGTTATTACAATACAAACACAGATAGATATCGTCGACGAACCGGCTTTTGTACGATAGGAATCACAAGCACCAGTCTTAATTATAGCACCTTGCATGCAAAGATATGTTGAAAGTTATATTTTGAAGATATTTTAAAAAAGAATTATTTATTTATAATTTTATATCGATTTAGCATGCATTTTATTATTAGAATTATCTTAATAGATTAAAATTTAGATAAAAAAAAAATTGTATCTTTCTTTTTCTTATAAAATTTATTTCTCACCTTTATCGTGTATACTCGTGATTCGCTTCGTAACAAAGTTGTTCGTTCGATCGAATATGACGCTCTTACGCATATATATTATATATGTATATATAAGAGATATTATTCTTCTAAAAAAAGTATCGGCAGTATATAGATATATCGAGAGTATTCCGAAGACGGAATTAACTCGATGAGATTTATCAATAATACACATTTAGCAATAAAATGCGACAACATAAATTCAACGACAGTATTAAGTCAAGTTAAGTCGTCCGTGAAAGAAATTCTTGCTCATTTTAATAAATAATAAGGACATCCCGAAGAAAGAAAGTAACATCGACATTAAGATATTTTCGTTCTTCACTAAACTCTCGATAGAATTAAATCCCTAGTGAATGTAAATATTGAAGTTTGAGAGTCCTGCGCGAAAATATCGATAGAGAATATAAATTATTGCTGAAATTAACGTTGAATTTTATAAAACTGTTCCAGAAAGAATTTTCGAAATGCACTTCGACATTCCGAAAAATCTATATTGATCGCACGAATACAGAAATGTATCGCTATACTTTATTGATTCAGTCGCGACCTGTTTGCAAGGACCAATTCTATGTAAAATGTTGGAAACGTGATGAAGGAACGAAGGATATCTTCGTGCGAATGGTGCTTTTTTATTCACACGAACGTTCTTTGCTATCTTTAGTCTTTTAATGATAACACTTGTTGTAGCACTATTGTTGTCATGCTATTAATTTTTAAGTATTACGTATCGATCGATTTCTTGACGTCATTTTGACGATAGATGGGTTTTATAAGAGCATACCATATTCAATAATTAAGTATACATTCCTCATTGTTGCCTTCCCTTGTGTACAAGGTATTCAATATTCATTTTTCTTCGTGTTTAAATATTAAACTAGTTTAACCTTTATTTACTAGTGAAGACAATCCAAGCGTAGAAATGTATCTTTTAAGAACGAGTCCTTTTTTTCTAGGAATCAATACCTCGCACACAAACGTCCTGCTCCGAGAATAATACGCGAAAGTGAATGAAAAAGTAAAGATACATGTCTCTTATATTTTATAACTAACAACTAACGTATCTATAATACATATAGAAATTATATTCTTCTACTTAAAGCACGTCTTCTGTAGGACATGTTAAAAAAGGACAAATTTAAAACCTATTATCTTATCTTTTGCGTTAATTTGCGAATTTTTCCACAACCCTTCTAGATAAATAATTCAAATGTTCTCTCTTTTCATTATGCGATTTAGCTTTCTAGGCGATAACGTCTAGTAGATAATGTTTGAAACGGAGTCATTTTTTCAAGTTGCCTTGCACCGTGACAAGCCGGAAGAGTGAAATAAGTAGGGAAACCATCGTGTCTTTACTTTCCGATTCATCCTTGCGCCTGTGTATGCGTGCTGTGTTGTCCGGGGAGAATGTTGTATAAACATATAAGTAAATACGATATCGTCATGGGCAGTGCCTGTACTGATTGTTGACACGTGTTAAACGCGATGCGCCTGCGACCGTATCGCGACTCTAGTCGATTCTATTTTCCTCAATGTGAAAGCCGTATTAGACTATATAACATTTTCTACGTATAGCCGAAGAGAGAAAGAAGAGCGTGTCACGCTAAGCGCACGTGAGAGCACGGGGGTTGCGCCGAGGTTTCACTTTTGTTAATTTGCAAACATACACACAGACACCTGACACACACAAATGTAATTCTCGACGAAATAAAGATGAAGCTATCGTTGTACGAGTCGAATTAAAATACTACAAAAGCTACTCAGACTTTCACCGCTTATGATAAATAATTCTACATATCTGTATTGCCTGTTAAATTGTTAAACTCTTATCTTGCCTCTTTCTTTGTCACACAGAGTGTAGTATACGCAAGATACAACGAGTTTATTTTTTATGCGCTTTTTTTTCATGATTTAATCTGTTATTTAAATTATAATCGTCTTTCTTTGAAGATTAAAAATTACATAAGCAATATTACAACGAGGAATCAGTGGGCGTCGCGACGCGCGAGTTCACCGTCGTGATGACGTTAGCCAACAGCGACAGCATGGTCTCCATCGAGAAGCCGCAGTGTCGATACAATCTTGAACAGTTTCTACCGTTCCTACCGGCTTCCACCGCTTCCTCGATCGCCGTGCCCTGCATGGCCGTGCGAAACACTTGATTGGTGGTGATTGTGTTCACCATCTTCTCGAAGGACGTCACTTTCTGATCTTTCTCGTTTCCGTTCTCGTTCTCGTCGTCCACTGTGGTCACCTGCTGCAAGTAGGTGCACACCGCGCGTTGCATGCACGAGGTCGTGTCGATGCCATGACGAGCCAGGACATCATCGAGCCTCGTCAGAGTCTGCGTGAAGCCATTATCTTCACCTGCGTTGGATTGACATACGTTTTATGGATTGTAGGAGCGGAATGTTCATTGAAAATTCCTCGTAAAATTTGAAATTAATCCTTTTTCAATGAAAATTGAAGAAAGAAGAAAGAATGACATTGTTTTGAATTTTTTTATATTTTATTTGATCAAGTTTCGAATCAGAAATCCATTAAGTTGAATGGAAGTTGAAAAATCACGTCAACTAATATTCTAAGAGATTCTTTAGTGGCTTACGGAACAAATAAAATGAACAACGCGGGATTTAGTCAATATATATAGATTTTATAATGTTATAAAAATATGTTTTATACCATTTTTATATATGGGATTTTATAAATGGATACAATACTTACTTCTCGCATAAGTACCGTAAGTCCCCGACAGGATATAGAGCAACTTTGGGATAATGAGAATCGATCCCACGCCTATGATGGCTCCCAAGAGAAGTCCTCCAAGATCTATTTTCGCCGGCGCATAAGGTGATACGCCGTAACCCTGATTCGGATTGATTACATAAATTTAATTCAATTACACTACTATATGAGTTTATTGATTAATTGACTTCAGTTACTATCGAAAATAACGAGATGAAGTAATATCGAGTGAAGCAATACTTTAAAGAAAATTTTTTTAAATTTTGTAGAAGATGGATAGAAATAGGAGATGGGAAAGAAATAAGAAGGAAAAGAAATTGTAAAAACAAGAGATGAAAAAGAAGAAGTGCGGCACTGTGTCTCAAAAGAATAGATATCTATAAAATATGAAAAAGATGGGAAAAGAAACCCGATCCAATACTTACGCTTCCTGTACTTCCGACATTGGTGAAACCAAATCGTGCCTCCTGGCTACGATCCGCAATATCGTTCGTCTCGGATTCGCGCTTCGACGCTTCGTCGTGTTGTTTAATCTGAGACGGCATGGCTACCTGATCCTGTGCCTTCGCCTGTTTTTCCATGTAGCTGATAGAACTCGGCACAAAACTATCGATAGATCATGCAAAGATAGACACATAATACGGATATTTTAGCGATAAAAAAATTACATTAATTTTCTCTTTAGATGTCTAAATACTTTCTAATTTTTAAATCCTTTTTCAATGTCTTTTAAGCATCTTTTGCACTTTTGCGAAGAAATGACCATTTTGCAAAAAGATATTGGATACAAATTCCTTATATTATTAAAAATTTAACCGTTAAAATGAGACTTACCCTCCATCATCGAACTTCGGACTGCAATTGACCAGAATAGCGAAGCAACTTATTGTCACGGTTAAACTTCGCGAGATACAAAATGTCATCTGAGAAAAAACTTAAAATAAATACTGAGAAAAATATCTGGTTAAAAACGGACAAACCAGAAGATTATATTAATTAGAATTCCGATTATCTCAATTCTAGAATTCTAGCATATTTATCCAGAAAATTCCGATTCTATTTTAAACAAGAATTTTAATTAATCCAATCAAACATTTTTCTTGGTGAATCAATTTTTAACACGCATATTATATTAATATATTATATAATAAATTAAATGTCTCGATAGTATTTATGTGTTTTAACGAATATTGTACGAATATGGTACTCTACAATATTCCACAAGAAAGAGCATATCTTTTTTTAAAGCTAAAAAATATCGTTTAAATGTCAAAAATTAAAGCCGGCAGTTTTATTATTTACAATAGACGAATAATTAAATTTCTAAAATGTCATACATCTTTTAGAATTTTTTGCGAATATTGCGTTATGGTGAATCAAAGTAGCAATTTGTCGGACATTTCATTTGTCGGCAATTTCTCGTGACATATATAAGCCGAATATGAACGTATAAATTATTTAAAGTGGATTGAGTAAATACCTTCGGTAGCGATAAAGGAAAATTCTTTAAGATACAACGTGGAAACTGAGATATATCCTAGGATGAGATATGGCGATTCAGTGTCACGGACTGACTGTGTGGTGTTTGCTTTCAGTCATATATAGTCGCTTTGGTCGTCTGAACACAAGTCGTGGATGATAATTGAAGCCCCGGTTTCGCTTTCATTGTTAAGTTTTCGTGGTGCATGACGTCTCCCTGTCGTCGCCTTCGTCGTCGTAAGCGAAGAGAAGGCCATTTTTTCTTCTTCTGCAACGACTGCAACCACGTTGTCATCACCGGTTACTCCGTTTGAAATTCCGAGGCTGAAATAATGGCCGGCCGCCAACAATGTCCTCTTAAGATGTTCACTGACTTTTGACACGCGAAATTTCGCCATTTCGGTCTCCGTCATCTCGTGGCTGAAGTGATCTTGTCCATGTTACGACTTCCTGTAGCGTGTTACGAAATGTGTGATACTTCGAGGGTGGTTATGACTTGTATCTCTATCTAATTGTTTACGTAGTTAATTTTGATTACGTTTTTAAAGAACAGTATGGTGCAATTTGATTCGAAAAGATGAAATTAAATTTTTTAATAATCGTTAATGTACGTATATGCGATTAAACAGAATGATGTCAACAAAACTTACGCTCCAAATGATTCCATTTTTGCGAAGAAAATAGAACAACTCGATAGAAAGCACACATAATAGATAAGAAGTACTTTGTAAAATTTATAGAAGAGTTTGCGAAAAGAAAACAAGTTTTAATTTATAGTTAAAAAATGCGAAGAAAAATGGTTGAACAATTTTTACTTTACAAGATTAATAAAAATATTCTGGCTATCTTTGTCGAACTTATGACAAACTTTACTTATTCTGAAAGTAAAAATATCGGAGATGCAGTAAGATAATAAGTACATTATAATTATGTGGTAAATCCGTTTAACTGATTACTAAATCATATAATATACTATTCTCAAAACTGTAAGCATGAACAACTCTCAAAATTTTACTTTACGAAATGTAAAAAAAGTACTTTATAATATGCCCTTTTACACAAATGAGTGCTTGTTTCTATGGAACTTGTCAATTCCATAAATCTTATTAAAATTCTAGCTTATATAGCTTTCCTACATTTTTTTCCGTGTGGAGAGAAGAATATTAAACAGATTTATAAAAGTCGGCGATTAGTCGATAAAGTCAAAGAGATACAAATCCTTTGAATCACCAAACGAAAGATCGAAAGTAGGATTAAGGATTTAAATGCAAGAAACCGCTAAAGCGGATGTAAGTAACAGAGTTCATGCTATGAGATCATATATCGGAATCCTTCCGGAAATTTCTCGGAAAAGAAATTCTATCTATGCGTTGCATGTTCACTACAAATCGTACGGGGAGAAGCCAGAGCGCGAATCGAAGTCCCCTTTCGCGAAGCTCGCGTGTCGCGTTCTCCCCCGTTTCGAGTTCGACGGAGAAGACGGTTCTAGACGGTGCCCCGGAAAATTCACTGAAAGTTATAGCTGGCCGAGTCTATAATTCTAATTGACTCGTCGTCACATTCGCTCTTTTTGTTGCGCTGAGTGAAAAATTATGTTTATAATATAAGTCGCGAGAAGCCGCTCATAATTATCCTTTATCTCTCTCCGATGCACGATAAAATGTAAAAGCGATTCGCGGAATACAACAGTAATTAATAATACATTATTCTGTAGATTTCGCTGTTTAGGTTCGTTAATTCTGTCGCGAGAAATCGGTATTTCCTGTTTTGATAGGGGCGGACGAGCCTGTTACGAACGGGACAAATTAGTGGGGGTCTGCTGCACTAGAACGTTGAAAAGCACTTGGGTAGCACAAATGCATCTCATTACTTCGCGGACGGCAGAAAGTCGAGGATATTGAGAATCCGATAAAGAAAGTGTTAACGTTTTATCTTCAACTGTTCCTAACTTCAATTATTCTTAAAGAGATTTTGAACATGAGGGCCACACCGACGGATTCGGTCGCTCTGATTCTTCTACCCTTCGCGCTATTCTTCGTGCGGGTAATTGGCAACGGCAATTCACGGACGTTCATGAATCTTAATGGTCAAAAGCCGCAATTCATCTCGTTTGACACTAAAGGTGGAGAAGTCGAAGTGAGTATATCAAAGTTGATTGAATGGAAATTTTTGGACACGTAAATTCCACGAGAATTAATCTTATTATATAATCGAGAGGATTTTCTTCAACTTCGAGTCATTTCTAAAGAATTTGACTTCAAATCGTTTGAGAGATCTTCCCGTTTGAATTTTTCAGATCACTTGGGATGTATCAGTACCCTTCTTCACGATACCGATGAATCACGTGAGCGAGAATGGTGAAGTGCTACCACTGCTTAACGTTAACACGAGAGGATTGTCAATCGCTGGTGTGCTAACAGCTATTCTCTCTTTGGCGGTGCCCCTTTTATCGAAGCCAGGCCCGGGAATGCAATATCGAGGTACAAGTTTCATTCCTATTCACTGCTCTATGTTAAGATAATAAATTTATTGTAAATATTCTTGAATTACTTGGAGTGTGAATTTCTGTGTCAGGTCTCGACTCGCAATGGTCGCAAATGGGAGATACGATAAACGAGATCGTGTTTAGCAATCGGTACATCACACCCTGCGTCCAACGCATTGTTTGCACCGTCGTTTCCGAGGCAAGTCATTCCGACAATCCTTCGAGTACCGATAAGATTATCGATGGATTATCAAGGTACGACTAATTTTTAATATTATTCTTTATAATAATAAGTTATTAACAACTATTGTATTAATATATAAAATATTTTTGAAATTTTTAATCATTATTTTAATTTAGAATTAACTATATAATAATATTTCGAATGGAAAATTTTATTTGCCTATATATATATTTTTAATGAGTATATATATATATATTTACTACATTAATAATATAATGAAGTTAATATATACATGTAATAAATTTCGCTAGATTTGGAGGGAAAGATATCAAAGAATGGATAAGTAATATTACTTATATTAAAGCAAGAGTAAGATAATTAATATCGTTCATATTGAATGATAAAATACATTACAATTAAATAACAATTAAAGCAAAAGTAAAAATTTGTTTTTTTTTTTAATGATCGTTGAGAATTACACTTGTATATTATGCTTCGTCCAATTATAAAGACATTAAAATTTGTAACAAGGCACATTAACTATTCAATTAAGAAAAATTATATATAAAGATTATTGAATCCAATGAATGAATATATGCGAAAAAATTCTTTAATTGGTTACATAAGAAATTAAATTTTAATTATATGAATTTATGTAATTATCTCGAACAGTCACAAGTGGTTTAAGGAATTCACAAATGGCACAGTTCTTCAGGAAGCTATCAGGGTAGGTCGAGAAGGGCACCACGATTGCAGTCGCATTTACAAGGAATGCTTTGTGACGCCGAACATTCTTAAAAGTATGATGGTACAAATCGGCGTAATTTGATGTCATGATATTCGACATTTTGCAATTGTAAATTGTAAATAAGGTATTATCGATCGCGAGACGGGCAGTGATTGAGTAGTTTTTTATTATCACACTTCTTCTTGTTGTCGAAGCGAACGGCGCGTCGAGAATGATTTTATGAAAATTTTGTAAAACACCCTCTAATCCGGCGAATCTGTCTCAAGTTCAATTTTGAAATCATTCACAATATATAACGAATGAGTTACATCAGGACGACTGATCTTCATTATTCTGATGCACGAGGTGTGAAATTTCGTCGCGCTTAAGAGAAACCTCGTCGCATATTTAGATGATGGCGCTTTCACTTTTGCTTTTACGCAAATTGTTAGAAACCACTGCTATTTTGACAAACGTATAGTTTGATGTCATATTTAATTCATTCTCATCTATCAGTTTCATTTAAAATAAACGATTTCTTCGTGACAACGCAGGTAAATTAAGGGGATTTGCATACATTGAATTTTTCTGCGTAATTTTCACCAAAATACAAAAATTCGAACTTTTTAAAAAATTGAAGAAATATGAGAAGAAAATTAGTCATCAGCACAACAGATAAGTAATAGCAGTAGATATGTGATTATTTTTTACATACATAAGATAAAGATTTTATTTTGAAAATATATGATAAATATATTTAATCCAAAGAAAGCGTATAAATGTTGTAATATTCTAATTAAATTATAATGCAAATAATAAATATTAATTCAAACGATTACTCACTGTTATTAATTGAAGTAATTATATGAGGTAATTGTTTTATTATTGATATTATGTTTTAAATAATGAAGTTGTACAATTTCATTATTTAATAACATTGGTATAAGCGGATCTAAAATGTGGATAGTTAAAATTACAAGATTTTGTATTCACGCTGTAATTTTGTCGTCGTCGTGGACGTCATTCTGCTTGAAAGACGCTAACAAACGCGCGGCACTCGCAGCTTGCATAGCCTCTGCGAGATCCGCCGCGGTTTGTCCCAGCATATCGACGCAATGCGGATCTGCGCCGTGATCTAACAGGAACTCGATCGCTTCCGTGCGATTATGAAGAGCGGCGAAATGCAGTGGTGTGCGTCCAGAAAAATTTTTTTGCGACAGATCAGCGCCAGCCAGCAGATACGACTGCAGACGCTTCGTGTTTCCTGCGGTCGCAGCCGCGCACATATTTTCACTGATCAGCACAGCATCGCCGTGAAGATGTGCTCCACATTGCAGTAATATCCTGATGATCTAGAAAATCATAAAACGCACTTTCAACAATGGTATTTTGATTATGGAATCTTAGTTCGCTAATTAAAACAAGATATCTTTTGATAAAGATGATCATAACAAAAGAAGAGCCAAAGTATATAATGCATCCTGGGCATTTGGATTTCACTTAACTTTAAATATGTTTTAATATACTTTCTCCCTATTTATGAACAAGTGGCATGATACAATATTTAAGTATTCTCGAAAAATTTGCATCGAAAATTTTGGAATTTTTAATTGAATCGTGAATTAATATCATTCGTACATGGTTGCAGGCGTTTAAATAATGTTATTATATGATCATA